ACCGCGTATCCGTATGCCACTAAAATAAAATCAGTTCACCTTTTCTGGGCAGTTCACCGTACGAGAACCGCTTATTTAAAAAATACAGATTATGTGTGCTTTTAGAAGGAACCATACCCTCGTTTTTGCTGATTCTTATCTACATTTTTTCGGTTGTGAAGAATACAAATGAGAACCGCTAAGGGATCAAAGAATAGCAGAACCGCAGGCATTTTGCCCAAATTCGAAGTTTATTTAAACAACTAGATGTCAGGGGTCTAGTTCAAATCCAGGTGGTTTCTATCGCTATAATGGGCAAACCAAACAAACCACTATAATTTGGAAAAACACTTATGAATTGAAATCAATGAATTAGAAACACTTCACATCCAGCGATTCACATTTTATACACAGATACGAAGCGGAGCTTCGTACCACTTCAAACATAACAAAAACATAGCATGACTAACTAACCGACAGAAAATTTCAAATAGTCGAAAAAGAAGCTACAACACAAATTGGAGTTGATAAAATTACATTGAAAAAAACAGAGGCGAAGCTGGGCTTCGAAAACACAAGTGAGAAAACGACAACAATTAGCTGTTCAAAATGAGAGAAGTAAAAAATAGCCTTTAAAACAAATACATTTCCGAGCTTCATAGAACAATTTACAACTCCACACATCTTTTCCAGGTTAAAAACTTTTATGATTGATCTTTTTCGATTTATGTTTTTCAAACTGAGAAAAATAGAAAAACATTAAATTTTTTTAATCCACTGCACTTTCTTAAAGCTACTTAGAGGGTCAGCTGCTTTCCACAAGCTGTAAAAAACGAAACCTAAGCAAGATGGGAATCAATCTCAAAACCTGCCACTTCAGAAGATACACACATCCACCGGCAACGCATAACTTCAACTTCCCTTTATCTTTCCACACATGCTTGATTAATACACACCACTGAGCCGTGAATACGCTTTGATTGAACGGCTATTATCATGCTGCTAACTCATGAAAGAACGGAAAATTTTATAAATCAGTACAGTAAGCTTTCATATTATGAGCCAACACTTTTGCATGCTTTATATCAAAATTGTCTGCAAGTCATCTAGTTTCTGCTTTATATTGGAAATTCGCTCGTATTTACGTGATGTGTCCCGCGCATGAAGGAACTTGGTAGATTGTTTCATCACGAGCTCCATTTTGAAAGACCAGTATAGCTCAATTGTGCACAAAAACTGGGCAGCGAAAAGAGCAACTTTATTTGAGAAAAATAAAATTTATCACAAGGCGAAACAAGCGAGAAAGCGGCAAGATTCGAGAGCATTGAAAAGCAAAAAAAAAACAAACTTTTCATGTAATAAACTAAAGGCAGCATCGTTTGCCTTCCTCGCAAAAAAAAGAAAAAGAAGTGAGCTTAAAAAGAACTTGAAAGTCAGACCGCGAAAAATCAAACTTGAGCTTGAACAAATTTAAGACTTCCCAAAAAACACAAAAAACCACCGAGACATATATAAGAGCATTCGCTACGTTCTTGACTCTTAATCATCACAAGCTATATAAGAGTCTGAACTACGTTCCTAGACTCTTAAAAAGGATCAACTGTGTTAACCCATTATAAATCAAACTTAAAAGCTCATGGTATTTATTAGTGTGCCAACGCAGCCTCCGAATGTAGCACTGATTGAAAAAATTGCTGAATTAGCCGCATATTAACCGGTTTTTTCCCGTTTTGACGGTCGAAAACTGTGCAATTGCATACATTATTACAATGCTGTAAGGTTTTATTGGCATAAATAGAGGCCAGGAAACGGACCTTATTAAATTTCGTGAATTGATAGCGAACAAAAAATTTCAGTCGGCCAATTGATTGCGACCTATATAAACTTCAACCATCTGCTCGCGTTTGAGAATGTCTTGAGAGATGGCTGAATTGGTCATAGCGGAGGGAGGGGGCAGGAGATTGCTCAATTGATCCGTTCAATGTTTCACAAACTCTGATAGCACAACATGCAACCAAGCGTTTACGCGACCGAGATCAGTAGGCTCTAGCTTGTGAGAGGTTTGTAAAGATATCAGATGATATTGATACACAGAGGCGAAGCTGAGCTTCTCACCACTTGCGATATTATAAAAAAAAATTTTAAAAAATCGAAAAGGTCGAAAAAACTATATCTTTTAAATGAATAAAGCTAGTTTTGAAAAAACTATTCCAAGACAATATAATGTGTAACCAGCATCTGAAGATAATGTACCCAGCGGTAACAAAGCCGAAAAAAACTCACCAGAAATCTTGTCAGATATCGAAAAAAATCAACAAGACTTCAAACTTTTCAAAGTTAATGAGTCCACCTAGCCCTTAAAACACTTTTTTGCTCGTCAAATGAAACATTATGAGCCCACTAAGCCGATATAATATAGACCGAAACCTATTAAGCCCAAAAAATGAAAATAAAAAAAAAGATTTATAAAAATTTAAGACTCATAAAAAGTTATGAAGTCCCCCTCAGCCTCAAAACACAGACGCGCACGCGCAAAACTTTTTTGGCTCATCAATAAATGCAATATGAGGCCAATAAGCCAATGTATTATAGGCCGAAACCTATCAAGCCGGAAAAAAGGAGAAAAAATCGAAGAAGTCGGAGAAAAAATTGTTAGAAAGAAAATCTTGACTATAATTATATAGGAATTTTAGCATTTTGTGCAATCCAGACATGATCATTAAAAATGTGTTTCCAATGGAACGACTGAAAACTAGGTCACTTAGCCGATAAAAAATATTCCAAAATCATATCGGCAGAAAAAAGTTTTTAAACGAGGTCAAGTTTAGTAAAAAAAAATACAAACAGCACAAACTGAGTAAAATCAAACACTAAACGCAACTATAATGTGAAAAAAACTATACAATGTGGCAACTAAGCCGACAAACATCACCAGACAATGATCAGCCGGCAATTTTTTTTTAAACGAATTATTTCCAGTTTTTTAAAAAAACAGGTCCGGTCAGTTTCGCACCCAAGACTTTTGGCTTCCCAAGCGTAAGCGTTTACCTCCAGACTAAATGTGCCGGAGACGCACAGAAAATTGAATTCGATATGAACCAAGACACCAAATGATTCTGTTTAATTGTGGTTAACCCGAAAAAAAAATACATTCCAGTTTGAATACGCTAGCTAATTAATGATAAGCCGCTGCAATGCGCGATCACATGGCAAGATTCAGACAACCGAATTGCGACTGAACATTTAGCGAAACTTTCATTGGCGATAACAGCTCTGAAACAAAATGATTTAAAACGGTCTGTCAAAAATCCAACAAATATTTTCGCATCAGAAAGACTTTTGATTAAAATTGCTCGATTACTTACAGCCACTTATTTATTTCCATAAAAGTGGCACCCGATGAGAAAGTGTTTTCCGTCTAAAAATCCTTATTCACATGAAAATATATCATTTAAACTTGACCTCAATCCAAGTACTTTATTGAATAATTATCAACACTTCAGCTACCGATGTTCAATAACATTTCTGCAAGAAAGCTGCTGCACCGAAGGAAAAAACAAAACCTTTAAAACCACTTCAGCTAACAAAAGGAAAATATCACTTCGTTTGGATGCTCGCATACAAAAAGCTTAAACTTTAAATATGTTGTTTTTTTTACCAGACTTACCAGATGAAAAAAGTGTCTCCATAACTCCGAGCGAAAGTTAAAAAAAGCAGCTGTGCGTCACATGAAGTAGTAGTTAGCAATCGATTGGCACTTTGATATATATTTTTTTCAGAATAAGTTAAGTCATCACCTTAGCGAACAAAGTATTAGCTCTTTAGAAAATGAAGGCAAAAGAAGAATTAATTTGGGGCGAACAGTTATAAATCTGCCCGCGCTAATCATTGAGGGCTTTAAACTCAATTAGCGATCTTTTCTAATATTCGCGTAAGTTCTGCCCGGAATACTTGCGAATTTCACAAGGAGACAACAAGGACTAATTTAGTCAAGTTAATCCCGTGAGCCTGGGCAGCTTGTGGCTTGATTTGGATTTTCCATCAAAATAGGGAATATTAGATGAGCTTTGCAAATCCAAGCGTGTTTTTCCCACTTTTCAGTCCGAACCTGTTAGTGCTAATCCACTGCCCACACGACACATGATTTGTAAATTCATTTTGGGCGAATAAAATGAAAATAGCCACCCAGAAATTACATAGGATGCGCATTTATTAAGAAATATGAATATTTGTAACAATTGGTTGGACTTATTATTTGATCACTGGGAGACCCTAAATGGCGAACCTTACTTTAGGTGCCATGAAGACGTAATATCTGAGCTTTTTCAACTGAGCCCTATTGTCTAATATCAGATAAATTAAATAGCAGATAACTTACGACGAACTTCATGTAAACATTTGTTTAACAGGGGTGAACATGAGTTATTCAACCAGAAAACTCCCAGGTAAATTTAAGTAATACGCGCAAATTCATGTCAGTGTTTTTTATAAACCTCGCAAGCGCCAACATAAGACCAATACATAGACTAATTCCACGATTATATTCAATTTTCATTCTTCTTATTTTTCTGAAATTAACTTGAAAATACGCCGGAAAGTAGTAGTTCAGTAAATAGATATTATAAGGGTTTCAACAAAACCCCTCCGAAACTGTGAACGCGCATTTTTCTATTCATCGCAGAGCCACTTCAAACTAATTTCAAAAAATCTCCTCAAACTCGTAGCTAACTTGCCATTTAAATTATCTAAATGGTGGTACTTCAGCAAACCGTCACACTGTCACAAAACGATACAAAATTATGTGATTGAATTTAGATAAAAGATGTCAAACTGGAGTTAAAAAGGAGAAGCTATGGCTTTTTAATTCGTTACAATGTCAAAATGGTAAGTTAATTGGGAATAATCTTAACATGTTATTCGAGCTTTGTTAAGTAATTTGGTTAATTGGTCTGAAAATTTAATGATAATTCGATTTACCAAAAGCATCCCTGTCTAAACGCACTAAACTACAGGTCACTTACGAAGCTGTGGATGGTGGATGCGTTGTTAAGGTCATGCAGGGTCAGTTCCGCCTAAAACATTTTAAATTCAAGGTCCTTAAAAACAATACTCGAAAAAACGACTGTAGCGAAAAAAAACAGAGGCGCTGTTTGAAACTAATTTTGCAATTCAAATTTTGAAATAAATGGCTAGCCCAACATTGAGAAAACGAAAGTTTTCAACAAAGATTCAAAACGTGCACAAAGAGACGAAGAAACCTTTTGCAATTAGTTAAAACAAAACATGTTAGACGACTGAACTAGTAGTACCATGACGTAGTAGTACCATAGTAGTAGTAGGAGCGCGGTGCGTATTTAGACAACCGCGTATTCATAATCTCCAGTAAGCAGTAAAAATTAACCAATCAGAATCGAGATGAGAGAGCAAACTGACGAAAGAAAGAATTATTTATTATTGATTTCTTTCTTGACTCGATTCTGATTGGCTAATATACTATTTGTCTGCTTAGTGACGAATATGAATACGCGGTTGTCTAAATACTGCTAAGTAACCGTCGTAGTAGTGTTATAACTTCAACATCATTCCAAAAACTAAACAATGTCTATATTTTGATGAACTTTTACATATTTAAAACAAATTAAAAATTTCAATTTTCATTCATTCATTCAGTAGTACAGTGCTGATTTAAATTATCCGACCAAAACTTGAAGTTTCAAACACGTTTTTCTCAAATTGGGTTAAGATTAGACAAAAAGTGAAGAGAACAAAAGTTGCTTAGAATTTCATTAGAATTAATATGGTGTAATTTTTTTCTCCGAAATTCTCAACCAAAATTTTACTCCAAAACGGGTCATTTTGGCTTTTTTTAATTAATAGAAATTACGCTGGAACTACTTTGTTAATTGATGAGAATATACATCACAAGAAGCCTCTTACACAGCCAAAATAGTTCTACAAGGGATAAATGTCCAAAAACCTGTGTAAGAGAACATATTTTTGCTTGATAGTCAAGAAACGTGATTTTTACTTTATTAAACCCAAAATTTTGGCTTAAAAAACTTTTAAAACAATTTACTCAATTATTTTTTGAGATTTAGCCCTTCTAGAACTTTGTTGGGCTGTGTAAGAGGCCTCTTGTGAGGTATATTCCTCGTCAATTAACAAAATAGTTTCAGCGTAATTCTTGATTAATTGAAAAAAGCCAAAATGACCCATTTTTGAGGTAAAGTTTAGGTTGAGAATTGATTTCGGAGAAAAAATTACACCGCATGAATTCTCATGAAATTCTCAGCAACTTTTGTTCTTTTTTTTTCTGTCTAATCTCAACTCAATTTGAGAAAAACGTGTTTGAAAATTCAAGTTTTGTTCATTTTGTCCGGATAAATTTAAATCACCACTGTATAATAAATCAACAAAAAACAGAGTAACCGTTTGCAAGTTACGGATAAGGGCGAAAACTAAGCTTAAAAACATTAATAATGGCTTCACCAGTATTTGATAGCTGTTATCCTTGCAAAAGCCATAACAAAAGCAAGACGATTTTTTTCAACTTTCACAGGTTACCTTTATTTTAAACGACCTATTTTTTCTTGCTGAGAGAGTGGTACTTGAATCTTCACAAACTGTTTTTTTTCTCAACTCGCTGTATATTTGATTTAAACTCAATATAATAAAACTGGTTTTTCCCGAAGTTGGAAAAAGTTTTCGAAAAATTCAATGTCAATGAAAGTACGATTACAAAAGCTTTAATATGATATATCAATCTGACGTTTAGTTATCGTATCTCATTTGGCGTGCACAGACTAAAAAACCCGGAACGAAGCCGAAAAGATTTCTTGTGTCGAAAAACTGAACTGAATAGGTTATTTAAAAAATACGCTATTTCAACCTGAAAATCAGACAAAACGTAGCAAGAAGACGCATATAGTCCGATAAAAGCACCACAGAAAACTATTAAGCCGAACCAAACCAATATAAAACACGAACTTCCGATGCAAATAGCACATAAAAATCCCACCACAGTTTTTTCCCGGTGGCAGTGCAAATATTAGAAAAAATCCCACCACGTCTCGAATATTTTTTGATACAAAAATTTCAAGAAGCACAATTAAAACCGTTAAATAAGCATTAAAAATTATCAACCGAGCGGGAACTAAGCATATGCGACAATATTGGCTAGACACCAGTTGAGCCGAAAACAAATGGATACCATAGAAAATTTAGATTTATGCAAGTGGAGAGCGTCCCGAATGATATTTTTTCAGGAAACGATTCCAATAAACACCATCAGAGCAGCTAAATAACCATTCAAAGTTGTTTACCGAGTGACCACTAAGCCGACGCAACAAAACTTAGGTAGCCAAAACCAAAATGATTCATAGAAATACTAGATTTAACGTTGTGGAGAGCGTTATTTAACGAAGTGGAGAGCGTTATTTGCCTTCCTTTCAGCAAATGAACGGGAATTGAAATACAAAAACGAACTCATCTTAAAGCATGAAAGAAAATACACATCTCCGAATTAGTTGTAAATAAATGTTAAGTCTTTTCCTAAAACCTCAATACGTTTTTAATCCCTGTTCATCACCAAGACGAAGTGTCTTCACTACTTTCATTGATAATTAAAAACTTAGAATATTGAATGTTAAACTAGGATCAGGGCAAATTTTACGAAGCATTTGCTGATTTTAAAAAATTATCCCACCGGGGACCGAACCCCCAACCTCATGTTCCGAAGTATCCGGCTTTACCTCTAGACCAAGTAGTAAGGAGCCTGAAAGGTGCCGAGGTAAAATAACAAAGCAAGATATACATGTAAGGTATACTTATATACATAGTGGAAAGAAAAACAATGTCAGACCGGAACTCAAAACAGCGACATGTCATCTGTGAGAAAAATTGTTTACGGGAAAGGTCTAGTTACCGATTTCTACAAGTCGATTGCTCTTGCAAGCGAATTAACACGAAGTCGATCCGTGACCCATTCTTATAATTATTTGTGGTATCTGATTTTGCATGGAAAAATTGCTAAGTACACAAATATTAAGTTTCTCCATGATTTTTTCAATTTCGGTATAATCTTAAATAACATCACCAGCTCGAATTCTGTTGAGAATTTGAAAGCTCGAGCTGATAAGCTACACCATAAAGGCAATTAACTCAAAAAAATTATACGAAAACATTTATACATTTCATATCATAGCGCCAAAAAATTGATTTAGCTTTTGATTCATTTTATCACCTCTCAAATTGTCACAGAGAGGAGAAGCCACTTGCGATAAAGAAAGCCACCGAATCGCAAAAAAAAGAAAAAAATACCATAGAAATAACTAACTTTCATATGTTTGTCTGAAGTCAAAACCATATTGATGAAACCTGTCGCATAACACAGAGACCAGCATTGAAATAGCATAAAAAATAACTAAAACTACTAAGAAAGAACTATGCACACAAAACTGGGAGGTCATAAAAACCCATTTTTTAAAAAGAAAAATCAAATATGTAGAGCAATTCAATGCGCCATTATTTTGAATTTGATTAGCAACAAAAATTCTCAGATATTACGAAGAATTAAGACCAAAAGTTGTCAGAAACTAAACTCAAATAAACTGAGACAAAAAATTATCCAGAAGAAGAAAGCTGACGGAAAAACTGTCATATAATTCTTTTTTTTCGATAGCGAAAATAAACTAAGCTAGCCTGTAACGCACCTCCAGTTCTACAAATAAAATAGTCAACTTAAAAATTGCTTGTAAATAAAATACATGAAAATACAGCGAAATGAATGCAACTGTAACAAAAGACGGGGTCATCCAATAACGCATTTCCTTTGAAAAATTGAACAAAAAAATTAATTTCAACTTAAAATTTCTTTTTAAACTAAAATGGTCAAACCTCCAAAAATAGTGGATTTTAATCTTCTAATTCTCTTTGAAGATTCATCTTGAAATAAATTAATCATTCGTTATTTTCATTAGCATACCATTTGCTGTCATCCGCCATTTGAAATCCAGCGTGATTATTTTTGAAAATCAGACTCATTTTTCATAGGTTCAATGAAAATTAACTGTTGAAAATCTTTGAAAAAAAACGTCATATCTAGGAAATTAAAAGCGTTGAGAGAGCCTTGAAATGACTTCACGACAGTATTGAGGACTTCAAACTGAAGTTTTTTTAGATCTAATTTTATTGAAAGTTAATGACAAATCATGAATAGGACTTATCTCCGAAATAAAAAAAAAATTGAGCAATCAAACTTGGAGGCAAGATCTGCAACCTCTGAGAGTTGCGAAGTTCTTTGAAAAAAAACTTCAAATCTCGATACTAAAACCATATGAATAGTCGAATTTGGAGGCAAGAATTTCAGCATCTGAACAATTCATGAGAGCACCCAACTAGAAGGTTGGTAATTTCATATTTACCAAAAATTTCGAAATCTAATTTTTCTTAAAAATTGAAAAAGTCACAAAAATCATCGTGTATCGTATCTCGTAGACTAAAAGGATTTGGTTATCCATACTTGGAGGTTAAAATTGCAACTATTGGGGAAACCTGGCAGCAACAGACTATTGAGCCGCTTATTTCAAATTTGGTGAAAAAAAAAACAATGAATTCAAACAGGAAAAATTTTCAAGCATCGGAAAATACAGTATATCTTAGACGTGAAAAAATCTTTTCATTACACATGCAAAAATAATACGTTGAAAAGGCTTAAACATGGCGAGAAATTGAATCCCGCATTTAGATAGATAATAGACTTGTTATTTTGAAAATGAAAAAATCTTAAAATAACGAGCAAAATTAAGAAATTTTTAAAGTAATTTGTGATCTGATACCGCTTACAGCCTCCTAAAACCGAGCATTTTTGCTTAGAAAGTTATCTCGTTCTGGAAAAAAATAGGCGCACGGAAAACAAAAACATCAATTGACGGAAAAACTGATAGAAAATTACACCAAGAAAATTGCGAACAAACTCATGGTTTCAATTACCTTCACCAAACAGAATATGGCAGGAACAGCAGGCCACTCAAGAAGTATCAAGGAAAGTCTTCGATTTAAGCTTTGCTGAAAGGAGAACAAGTTCGAAAAATCAAAAAAAATTATCAAAGAAGGTCGAAGGAATGATTTTTAAAAGTTCAAACATCCCTTGTCAAAGTTAACCAACATCAAAAAAAATACCGAAAACAAATAGAAAAAAAAACAATAAGTAAATCAGTCGACAGAATTAAAGCCGACACTTTAAAAAGCTGACATACACCCGAAATGTTTTCATTCAGAAAAATCTTGCATCTGCCAACTACAAAGGAAGCGCTAGCCCTATAAAGGCAAAACACGTAAGATGCAAACTCGTAAATTTACTCTTTCGAGCTTGCCTCGACATGTACCACGTGAACAAATTTATTTATCTAATAAGCGGTTGCAATAACAAAAAGATCAACTGAAATTTTTGAACGCTAAAATTTAGGGATTAACGACATTTTAAAATTGACCCCTATCTCAGAAACTAAACTTTACAAAAAAAGGCATACCTAGCAATCTCGTACATTTTGCTCAAGCCACAAAAATTTCGCGGGTCGTATATTCTTTGATTTCACAACTGAGTTACTGAAAATTCAATCATTTTACCTTGCGATTTCCATAGTGCTGGCTGTACATAGCTTGTATCTGTGGAGTATTTGACAGTTTAGCAGTCAAGGGTGACCTCTTATTGCCACTGCCTCCCATCTGCTGACCGGTGGCTCCTCCGGATATGGTGGGGACTGCCGGATTGAAGGAGCTATTGGAGTTGGTCAAATTACTGTTTGAGGAGTGAGACGAGGAAGCACTGTGGCTGCTCAGTTTGCGAACTGGACTCGTGAGCCACTTTTTGATGCTGTTACTTCGCTTGGTCGGTGCCGTACCATTGTCACTGCCTGTGACACTCAGTAGATCTAAACATAACAGCAGTGTTCAGAATCATATAACCATTTTTTGTTCCAATCACTTAAACAGGAGGAACTTTGTCTTCAGGCCTGGTTTTTTAAATTTTCTCCACGCCAAATCAAGTATCCAAAAACTCATCAATATAGGCCAAGCGATATATCATATTCAAGTCTTTCCAGTCGTTATTCGACCGTCAAAGAAAAAAATCAGAAAAGTTTTCACAATGTCAAGGAAAATCAGGTAAAATTTTTAATTTTCTATCTAATCTAGAGCGATTCAAGCGAGTAAGTAGAGCGTAAAGTATTTTTAGGCGAAAAGTAAGTAAGCATAAAATAAGCAGTGACGTTATTACTTAAATTAGCAGTTTTTAAAAAATAATTAGGCACTTTCTCAGCACGAAAACAATTAAAAATCAGAAAAAGAAGTTGGTACAATTTGGCAACCGGAATTGAGTGCGCAGAAAAAACTCCGAGTACTAAGTTCTTTTCCACTCCTTGTTCAGAATGAAAATACAAACAAAAAGAACAATAACATGAACAACAATAAAATCTCGTACCAAGGATAGCCGGTTTCTTTGGAAGTTGCTCAGAAAAAAACGATCACAGTAATCAAATAGAAACGGTTTTTCATTCAAAATTGTGTTTTTCTGCAAGTAGGGAGGGGTGAAACAAATCTTTTCATGGAAAAAATATCAATGGCCTCAAGAAATGACAACTAAACCTCAGCCAACAAAGCTTCTTTGGTACTAATTTATGTATCCCATTTTTAAAGAATGTGCAAAAATCTTCATTTTTGACACTTTCCCAGAAGTTCATCAGCATCGCAAATTTTTTTTGGTAAAATAAAGTAATTGTATTGTTTGGGATAGCTCAGAAAATCAACAGACCATTGGAAAAAGGCAAAATGCAAGGAAACCAAAAAATACTGACTAAATTTTTAAAAAACTTCCACAAACTTTGTTTAAATAGTGCTTTCAAACATTTCGCGAAATATTGTTAGCTGGAAAAAATCTAAAAAAGAGTTTGATTATAGTACTTTTTCATCAAACAAATAATTTTTTTGCTTTAATTCACGAATTAAAACATGGCCAACAGAGAGTTGAAGACGAGTCAATGAACGCAGGTAAACAGAAAAAAAAATACTGATTAGTTTTAGTTCAAAGTAAAAATTGTATGGCCTTATAGAACTTTGATTTTCAAAAAATAGATTATGATTGAAAAACTTTGATAAAGTAGCCATATTTGATAAGTTTTATTCCGCTGGAAAATCTGAAAATTAAAGTCCACTGTCGAACAAACTCGAATTCGTTTTTCGGGACCTTATACACAAGCTGTTCGATAGTGGAGTTTGCCTTCTTTTCAAAAAGGAAATGAGCTGAATAGTTTTTAAGACGTTCCTGAAAAAAGAACAAAAAAATCACCAAGACTTATATAATTATTTAATTACGATCATCTCGTAAAAAACATGTAGCCAACAAATAGTTAAAAATATAGACAATGATAGCAATGAAACAGAAAAAATATTGACTGCTTTGAAAAACTTTCACAAAAAAAAACATCTGACTCTTAACACGCCTTAAATTTCAAGAACAATTAATCACTTACACTTTTTCAATAAAAATAATCCAAGAAATTTAAATCAGTTTCTCAACACCATGACAATTTTTAAATTTTTTTAATGCCGTTCGAATCATGACTCATAGAACCTTAATATGATACATCACATGCACCATTCCGATGATTATTTGTGGTACCCTATTTTGCGTGCGAAAAAAACTAAAACATAACCAACAGACAGTTGGAAAAGAGTCAATGAATGCAGAAAAAAAAGTAAAGAACAAAATGCTAAATGTTTTTTTTGACAAAAAAATACATGGCCTTTTAGCACTTTGAATTTCAAGAAAACTTTATACTTGAAAATTTTTTTTGATAAGTTTAACATAATTTGAGAAACTGGAACAGAAGTTTTTTTTAAATTTTGCTGCGAAATCTGAAAAATAAAATCAACTTCGAAAGTAGAAGTCGATCGCGTTTTTCGTGATCTTTACACGTTCATAGACGTTCAAGGAGAAAAATCAACAAACGCTATATTTCTTTCACAGCAAACGGCTATCCTGGTTTATTTAGTTGTAGTTTTAAAATTGATTCAGGTTATTATCGTTACTTATACTTTGAATTTCCTTTTTGTTATTTCAAGTAAAAACAAAGTAAATCGCAGAAACACTGCTGCAAGAAAAAACTCTTTTATAAACTTTAAACATAAGAGGCAGCTTATTAAACTTTATAGAAGAGTTTTTTCTTGCAGCAGTGTTTCTGCTATGTACTTTGTTTTTACTTGAAATAACAAAAAATAAATTCAAAGTATAAATAACGATAATAGCCTAAATCAACTTTAAAACTACAACTAAATAAACCAGGATAGCCGTTTGCACCATTTCACACCATTTTGAAAAATTTTGAACCAATTTTGCACTAAGTTTTTGAGTTATAGGACTCAGAGGTAATCTAAGTACAGAGGTAATCTAAGAGGCTGATCACTTCATCATCTTAATCCAAAATAATCAATGATGGTTAATCAGCAAGAAATTTCACTTCCTAAATTCGTCTATTGATTATAGATTATAATCACATTTGTCATATACACTTACGAAATAAATGCTTCACTTTTTAACCTTTCGGAATTGGGTATATTTTCGGACATAATTCTAGAATTGAACCTAAATAGAAGACGAAAATTTCTTTACCAGAATCGAAGTAGTGCTATTAGTTTTTCGGAGTCTGAAGCCTAACTTATTTTGGCCCTAAAACATAGTACGATAATGAATTTCTTATCGTAGCATTAATTTATTGATTTCAAAATACATTCATTTGATATGACTTCTAGATTTTTTCATGACTTGCCTAATTTCAAAAACAACTATCTTCTTTCATCAAAAGAATTGCATCCGCGAAGAAAAATCAAAAAAAAATTGCTCTGCTTTTAATATCAATTAGCAAGCCCATCCAAACCTGAAACTTTGATTTTAATTTAATAACTAGTGAACAGAGGATTAAATTGATTTCAATTTAATTTGATGGTTGGAACAGGTTCGCAAAAATGCGACTTTTAGAAGCAAGCTATTAATCGTGAAAACTTGAGTCTAAGTTGTTTGCATAGTTTGCAATGGTGTAAAAAAGCTACGACACCTTATCACGCCAAAAAAATTGATAATTTTAAAGCTGTTTTGATGACTTGAGTAGTTTAGCAAAAAAAAAGTTTCAAGTAATGCCAGCTTGGAAAACTTCACGTTGTTTTGAAAACTTGAATTCCTTCGAAAAGAAAAAACAAAATTTTAAAGCAAGTAATCAAACTGAGAAAAATTGAAATATTTTAAGTTACTTCGCAAGCTAACATTGGTTCGCAGGAATTTAAAGATTCTTGAATAAGCTCTTTAAGTGATGAAACCTTACAATTTTTTCATTGCTCTGAATGCTTAAATTAATTTGCAAAAAATGCGTTCAGAAATTCCTTGACAAGAGAACAAATTTCTTTGGTTTCTTTGAAGCAGATAATTCGATTAATGGAAACTTGAAAAAATCAAATTTTTTCATTGGTTTGTACAATTTTAAGGTTTTTTTGGAAGCAAACTATTCAAACGATGAATCTTTGATCCAACTCAGATTAATGTGTATTGAAAATTAAATGAAAAAAAAAATTAAAAATGAAAACTAAAACCAAGCTATCCTGCCATGAAATTGAAAGGTTTGATTCAATGGATTAAATTAGAGGACAATTGATGGACTCCTTCAAGCAAAAAACTCAAGCAGTTAAAAACCACCAATTATTTTGATGGCTAGAATTGATGCCCAAAAAAATGGCTTCTGAGCTCAAGTTATTCAAGAAATCAAAAGGAGAAAATTTTTAACTTGTTTTGATAACACGAAATGCTGAAGTAAAAATTAACTACTAATATTTAAGTCGTCTAACTCGTATCTCGCCATGGTTAAATTTCTTCGCCGAACTTTTTTCACGTATTTGAACAAAGAATTTTCTCACCTAGTTAAAGCTACCGTCGAACTTTAGGCTACCAGTTAAAGCTACCGTCGAATTTTAGGCTACCAGTTTACCAGAATTAATCATGTCGATATAAGTAAGCATGTATTAGAAGCAACCTTATCGGATCAGTAGTACGGTTTTTATCCAACTCCTTTTAAAAGACGCATCATTGCTAGCTATCTATCTGCCATTCAATTTGCTTTGATGGCTTGATGGGTTCAAAAACTATACAAATTTTCAGGTGCAGGCCATCAAATGATTGAACTAGGAACTATTTGCATTATTTAAAATTGTTTCGATAAATATCAAGACTCCGGGAGAAAATGGCTCTATCCCATTATAGCCGCCCTTCCGTTCCAGTTTGATAAGTGGGCCCCTGTTGAAGCAGTCCCACGCATCAAAAAAACTGAGCAAATAATTTAGCACCGAGGCGAAGCTGAGCTTGGCACCACTTGCGATGCAAAAACGAAAGATCGTAATTACCATCGTCTGAGAAAAAAAATCAAAAATTAAAAAAACCTTCGAAAATCGTTTTTGTCACATACTTTTATTAAAATCGCACGAAAGGTCAAAAAAGCCCAAGCGGTCTGGAACAACAGTACCAAAAGGTTTGGAACAAGATAACCAGCACCATAAAAACTTTGCCAGGAGCTTTCGGAATGCAGCAAAAAATACCAAAATTTTAGAAAATCCTTTCTGCGGAAACTAAGCAGGCAAAAAAGCAGAAATGTAAATTAGCCGAAATTTTTCATTTTGCAAAAAAAAACCAAGTCTTGATTGGAATCAAACTCCTGTGATTTAACGCCAAGCACGGGTAGTACAGCGATTAGAAGAAAGCTGGACCTTCAAAAAAAAATCCGGTTAAGAGAACTAGGCCGACAAAAAAAACAGACGGACGAACGATAGTCATCAATTACAAAAACTTATTTTTGCAAAAAAATTGGCACCGAACCGATTCGAACCACAAACCTTT